AGAAATATTTACAAATAGTTCATTCCTGATTATATTTGTAACGTTAATTATTCATTAAATTATCCAACTCTCAAAATAAAGGATATTCCATTAAACCCATTTTCTCCAGTATCGTTGTTACCTGTCAATTTATCACTTCCATTAACACCAAACTCATTTTTTCTTCCATTTTATAAAAATTTTGAAGTTAATTGTCATCCTTTATATTCTTCACCAGTTTCATATAAATTTTCAGAAGATTTTATTCAAAAATTAAATGAAATTAATCACCCATATGCATTACAATTACTTCTCCATATTAAATCAACTGAACCTAAAACCTTACTTCATCCACTGTTAAAATGTTTAATTCAATATGAAAATCAAACACTTCAAAATAACACTCTTTCTATTGAACCTAATTGTTTACAATCAGATGAATTACTAGAAAATTTAACAGAACAAATTTATATACTTCCATTTAATAATTTAAATATTTCATTACCATCAAATAATATAAACAATTTAACATTTAATGAATCTTATCAAATATATGTGTTATTATTAAAACAACAACCTGAACATTGTCTATCAATAATAAGACAATTAGTTAATATTATTGGAAATCCATTCAGTTCTGGAATTGTGCAATCATTGCCTGATGAATTTAAGCCAACTATTAGTCAAGTAATTATTGAATCAATACCTTCTCATCCTTTAATGTCAAATTATTTTGAAGAATCATTACAATATTTACAAACGATATCAAAAAAAACTAATTTATTACCATCATTAATTTATGTACTTAATTCATTAAATACATTAACTAAAGAAGAATTAATGAAAAGAGAAGAGTTAATTGTTGACTTTATAGAGTATTGTTTAAATCACATTACAAATTTATCTGAACAATTAAAATTAGCATTTACTGAAGGATGTTCCAATTTCATTAGAGTGTTATATGATTTTGATGATTTAACACTTCCAATAGCAAAAGAAACCAGTTTAAGGTATCGAATTATTGATATACTAACTCAAATTATTCAAATTTATCCAAATGTAATAACATCTCTTAGTATTACATTCAAAAATTGTATTGAACCATTAAATTATACTCCATACAATCCACTTAGTTATGGAATATTTTCTAATAGTGGAAGTTCAACACCAAGTAGATCAGTTAGTAGATCAGATTTATATTCTACTATTTCAAGGAGTGGAAGTTTAAATTTTAATGAAAGTTATTGTGAAAGTAAAAGCAGAAACTCTAAAAGTAAAAGTGAATCTTCTAAATCATTAAAAAGAAGTGGTAGAAAGAATAACAATATTGAAACAGTAAAAATTGGAAATATCATTGGAATAAGAAACCTTGGTAGTACGTGTTATTTAAACTCTATTCTACAACAATTATATGGAGATGTTTATTTTAGAAATTCAATGCTTCTCATAGATTCAATTAAACCTGAACAACCATTTTTAAGTTCATTAAGAGATTTATTTATTAAATTAATGAGGTCAAGTATTGTTATTGATCCAAGAACCGAAGTTAGTGAAATGAGAAATAAAAAATATGGAATAATTAAGCCAGGTGTTCAAAGAGATGCATGTGAAATGTTAATGGAAATACTTGACTCAGTAAGTGATGAATTAAAAGGAAATCTTGGAATTAATGCATTAAAAAAATCATATTTAATTGAAGCATTAACAGAAATAAGATCATGTGATTGTTCACATAATCAACAAAGAGTTGAAGAACATGTAGTGTTACCATTAGAAATTAAAGGATTAAAAAATTTAGAAGAGTCATTAGAAATATTAACAGGTACTGAATATATTGGAGATAAACAATATAAATGTGAAGAATGTCATAAACAAATTAATATTAAAAAGCAAATGTTTCTTCATCAATTACCAAATACATTAATATTTCAATTAAAAAGATTTGATTTTAACCTTCAAACATTTCAACAAGAAAAAATTAATTCTCGTTTTCTATTTCCTGATTATATTAATTTAAGACCTTTTACATTTACTAAAATTAAAGATGAAGAGTATTGTCTTGCTGGAGTTATTGTTCATTCAGGAAACTGTACTGGAGGACATTACACATCATATATTAAAGATGGAAGTAAATGGTTTTTATGTAATGATGAACAAGTTATTGAAGTAAAAAGAGAGTATGCAGAAATGGAATGGTTTGGAACAAAAAATAAATCAGGATATCTTCTTTTTTATCGTAGAATTACTCCTCTTGAAGAAATTCCATCAATTTCAATTAAAACAACAACAGTTCCAATTGAAAAAGAACAAAAATCTTCAAAAAAGAATAAAAAAGGAAAATCAAAAAAAGGATATGAAACGAAATTTGAAATTATTAAAGACGGAGAAAAGAAAAATGGAAATAGTTGTTTATCATCAACTTTAACTTCTTCAATTTCAGAATCTACACAAAGTTCTTCAATTGATTTAAATGAAGAAATCAATGAATTTGAACAACAAGAGAGTATTTATACAGAACAATATTTATTTGATGAAAACATATTTTATTCATTTTTACTAGAATTATATCAACATATAGAAATTTGTACAAAAGAAACTGTTTCATTTATTATTCAAATTATTATGTTTAGTTTAAATGAACGTAGAAATGAAGATTTTTGTGAAGAAAGAAAACAATTATTAAATTATGTATTAGAAAATCCTTGTCAAATTGTAGCTGAGTCATTAATTGAAAATGAAATTAATAATAAAGTAATAATGACAAAAAGATATTGTTTCAATCCACGTTCCACTTCATCAAAATATACTTCATATGTTATTGACTGTTTAAAATTATGTTCAATTGAAATTAATCAACGTTACCTTTATCAATTATTTGTATTTTATTCAACACTTACATTAACTAAAGCTCATGTCCATGGAATTAAAACATTGTTTGGAAATGGATTAAGATTATTAACTGATTTAAGTTCTTTAAAATGTTCTATTGATAATGCTGTTATGAAACAGTTATTTTTATCAATTAAACAATCTGATTTTATTTTAGA